TACCATACGTAACCGAGACGTTCCCTTTCAGTCGGTCACTACGAGTCACGTCGTGACCGATGAATTGGGATCCCTACCAAAGCGCCATGGTGCTGCCCCTTCCAGTGCCCTGTGCGAGCCGCCTGCGCCCCTATCTGGTGTAGGCCGGGGCTCGGGACAAGTAGTTCCACTCACCATTTTTCAAAGCACTACCTTACTAAGTGAGACTGGATAACACTGGGAAAACGTACCCGCTCCACTTGGAACAGGGACGCTGCGGAAGCTCCATCCTTCCCGAAGGAGGTTTCGAAAGCAAATGCACATATAGCATCCGTTTAGGTGTATATGGAGAAATGGAGGTGATTGTAACCCTCTTGGAAAGGCAGAAGTCTGCCGGGGAAACACGGGCTCTATGGCTATACCGTGGCCTATACGCATGCGAGAGCCGCTTAGGTCTCAATATGGAACCCAGCCTTCCACGGTTCCCGCGGATTCATCGTGAAGGTCCGGCGCCGGACGTTCCGCCGCGTCGGCTGCCGAGGGTGACGGAGGATCTCAACAGGGTCTACTGTAGTTTTAGCAAGCCGACACTAACCGGGGCCTCTCGGTGCCACTACCCGTTTGAGGTGAGAACACAGGAGGATACCGGCTCCACACGGAGGCTATAGAATCTAGCGAACGTGTTGGGGGTCGCCCAGCCCGCAGCCCTACAAATATCTGTCAGCGAGGCGCCACGAGCCAACGCCCAGGAGGATGCAACACTTCTAGTTGAGTGAGCTCGCAGCCTGAATGGGCAGGGCACACCCTGTGCCTGATAAGCCAAGGTGATGGCATCCACAATCCAGTGGGCCATCCTCTGCTTAGAGACAGCATTCCCCTTCTGCCGGCCTCCGTAACAGACAAAGAGCTGGTCTGAGGTCCTGAAGCTTTGTGTCCGGTCTACATAGCACCTTAATACTCGGACGGGACAGAGCAAAGCCAGGGCTGGGTCTGCCTCCTCCAGGGGCAGCGCTTGCAGGTTCACCACTTGGTCTTTGAAGGGTGTAGTGGGAACCTTGGGCACATAGCTGGGCCGGGGCCTCAGGATTACCTGGGAGTCAGCCGGCCCCAACTCTAGGCACGAATCGTCGACCGAAAATGCGTGCATGTCCCCTACCCTCTTGATGGAGGCCAGTGGAAACAGGAGCATAGTTTTCAATGAAAGAAACTTTAGCTCAACTAAATGCAAAGGCTCGAATGGGCCCTGCTGTCATGATTTTAGCACTAGAGACAGGTCCCAAGAGGGTATAAAGGGGGGCCGGGTAGGATTCAACCTCCTGGCCCCTCTAAGGAACATGATGACGAGGTCATGCTTACCTACGGACTTTCCATTCACCGGGTCATGGTACACAGCAATAGCAGCAACCTGGACTTTGAGGGTGGAGGGAGACAGCCTTCGCTCCAGCCCTTGCTGCAGAAAGGAAAGCACGACCGCAATCGGGCATCTCCGGGGGTCTTCTCGGTGAGAAGAACACCACTCGACGAACAGGTTCCACTTCAAGGCGTAAGCGTGTCTCGTAGACGGTGCTCTTGCCGAAGTGATAGTGTTCACTACCTCCTGGGGTAGGTCACCTAGAACCTCAGCGTCCCGTCCAGGGACCAAACATGGAGTTTCCAAAGGTCTGGACACGGGTGCCAAACGGTGCCCCGTCTCTGAGTCAGTAAATCCTTCCTCAGAGGAATTGGCCAAGGAGGGGCTGTCGCGAGGAGCACTAGCTCGGGGAACCAGGTCCGAGTGGGCCAATATGGTGCCACTAGCAAGACTTGCTCCTCGTCCTCCCAGATTTTGCACAGTGTCTGTGCGAGAAGGCTCACTGGGGGAAATGCATACTTGCGTAGGCTCCGCAGCCAGCTGTGTGCTAGTGCCTCTGTGCCGAGTGTTCCCTCGGTCAGGGAGTAAAACAACTGGCAGTGAGAGGTTTCTGGAGAAGTAAACAGGTCTACCTGAGCGGCTCCGAAACGTCTCCAAATCAGCTGGACCGTCTGGGGATGGAGTCGCCATTCTCCCGGGAGCATTGCTCGAGACAGCTCGTCGGCTGTACGGTTGAGCAGGCCCGGAATGTGAACAGCACGAAGTGACCTCAGAACCTTCCAACTCCAAAGGAGGAGGTGGCGGGCGAGTTGCGACATGCGACGGGAATGCAGACCACCCTGTCGATTGATGTACGCAACGGTCGCTGTGTTGTCCGTTCGGACCAATACGTGCTTGCCTCGTAAGCACCCTTTGAGACGGTTCAAGGCCAGACGCACTGCTAACAACCCTAGGTAATTGATGTGCCAATGCAGCTGCGGGCCCGTCCAAACCCCTGAGACTGCATGCCCGTTGTACGTGGCACCCCACCCGGTGGTGGAGGCATCCGTGTAGACCACAGCATGCCTGGAGATCTGCTCTAGGGGCACCCCTGCCCGGAGGAATGCAAGATTTGACCACGGGGTGAAGGTTTGGCGACAGGTCGGTGTAACTTGGACCCGGTGAGTGCCGCGCTTCCACGCCCACCTCGGGACTCGGCCATAAAGCCAGTGCTGGAGCGGTCTCATATGTAACAGGCTGAGCGGTGTAAGCGCCGCTGCGGCCACCATATGCCCCAGGAGCCTCTGAAAAAGTATCAGTGGGACCGCTGTCCTGCCCTTGAA